CCCGGTGTGGGGATTGGTGTCACCGCTGTGCTGAACTGATGTGCAGGGTCCCGAAGCAGTAAGCCAACAATCTGTTCCAGGTCTCTGCCTCCTTATTGGCTGAGACAGCAAGTGGGAGCCATTGGCTCACACCGCTGTCACTCATAGTCAGATGAGAGGGGGGGGGGCTAAGCCATGGCTCCATGTGTGAATGGACACACGGAGCAAAAAGTAGCAAAAAGTAAAAAAATATAGGTTTATTTTTTCAAACTTTTTTTTTTGTTTATAGCACAAAAAATAAAAACCGCAGAGGTGATCAAATGCCACTGAAAGCAAGCTCTATTTGTGGGAAAAAAGGATGTAAATTTAATTTGGGTGCAGCGTTGCATGACCATGTAATTGTCAGTTAAATTAATGCAGCGCCGTATTGCAAAAAATGGCCTGGTCAGGAAGGGGGGGGGGGGGGGGTAAATCCTCTGGAGGGCAAGTGGTTAAAGGCTAAGTTCACCTTTCATTACGTGTGTATAGGGAGGATTGTACCTCCTGCTCAAGTTCCTCTATTTTTAAGGAAACTTGAATAATTACCTGCAGATGAGTTAAGGCTCCGAATTATGTTTATTGTTTCATATACAGTTGTGTCCAAAATTATTCAACCCCCAATGCTGTAAAGGGGTTTAGGGACTATAGTGTACATTTGGAATTGTATTCAGAATCAAATCCTACAAGGACGTTGTAACTACCCAAATGCAACTAAAATGACATCAATTGTTTATGTAATACAGTAGTAAATGGTTCTTATGTGGTTTCTTCATTGCCACAATTATTCAACCCTTAAAGACTACCACTCTGAAGAACAGAGGTTCATACAGGTGCTTTCCATCAGGTATTGAAAACACCTGTGGATGTCACCGAGCAGCAATCAAGCATAATAAGCACCAATTAGGCAGCTTTAAAATGACTGTGATACTCAGCTCCTTCTAGACATTTACTGGTGTGGTTACAAACATGGTGAAGGCAAGAGAATGGTCCAGGAAGACAAGAGAAGAGGTGATTTCTCTTCACAGGAAGGGCAATGGCTATAAGAAGATTGCAAAGATGTTAAACATACCAAGAGACACCTTAGGAAGCATCATTCGCAAATTCAAGGCAAAGGGCACTGTTGAAACGCTACCTGGTCGTGGCAGAAAGAAGATGCTGACTTCGACTGCTGTGCGCTACCTGAAGCGTAGAGTGGAGAGAAATCCCCGTGTGACTGCTGAGGAACTGAGAAAAGATTTGTCAGATGTGGGTACAGAAGTTTCAGCCCAGACAATAAGACGCACACTGCGTAATGAAGGCCTCCGTGCCAGAACTCCCAGGCGTACCCCCTGCTGTCTCCAAAGAATAAGAAGAGTCGACTGCAGTATGCCAAAAGCCATGTGGACAAACCACAAAAGTTGTGGGATAGTGTTCTGTGGACTGATGAAACAAAATTAGAACTGTTTGGGCCCATGGATCAACGCTATGTTTGGAGGAGGAAGAACAAGGCCTATGATGAAAAGAACACCTTGCCTACTGTGAAGCATGGTGGAGGGTCAATCATGCTTTGGGGCTGTTTTGCTTCTGCAGGTACAGGGAAGCTTCAGCGTGTGCAAGGTACCATGAATTCTCTTCAGTACCAGGAGATATTGGATGGAAACGTGATGCAGTCCGTCACACACCTGAGGCTTGGGAGACGTTGGACCTTTCAACAGGACAATGATCCCAAGCATACCTCCAAGTCCACTAGAGCATGGTTGCAGAGGAAAGGCTGGAACATTTTGGAGTGGCCATCGCAGTCACCCAGACTTAAATCCGATTGAGAACCTCTGGTGGGACTTAAAGAAAGCAGTTGCAGTGCGCAAGCCTAAGAATGTGACTGAACTGGAGGCCTTTGCCCATGAAGAATGGGCGAAGATACCCGTAGATCGCTGCAAGACACTTGTGTCAAGCTATGCTTCACGTTTAAAAAGCTGTTATAACTGTAAAAGGATGCTGTACTAAGTACTAAGATTGAATGTCACTTGGGGGTTGAATAAAACTGATAATGCTGTGAGCACAGAAAAGACATTTGTGGTTATTTCATTATAACTGTTATGTTATATTTGTCTGACCTACAAGTGCCTCTTTAATGTAAATGTAAGCAAGATGACTGAATGATCAAAAGCAATGTCAAACTGGCCAAAACACTCAATTTCAGTGGGGGTTGAATAATTTTGGACACAACTGTACGTATATGGGAAATACAGTGTCCGCCCTCACTGTATTCCCCTTTCCATAGAGTTCTTCTCTGCTTATATAGACTTTCTTATCAAATAGCAACATATCACAAGCCTGCTGGCACAATTACAATCTAGATATGTGTGTATCAATTGCAGTAAACAACTTGAAATATATGAAGTTATGGATAGAAGCATCTTTGATGAGACAAAATGGAGTATACATAGCCATCTTATAATATTCTATATACAATATGTGACTCAGTATGGATCATAGTTATTCCTATACACGTTACATTTTACACCCATATTCAGGGTGTAACATGTAATATGTTACGAAAGGATCGGCCCCCGCACCCCATTGTGATTAGGGTTGTCACCTCATCCCTTTAAAACCGAACACATATTAATTACACAGGTTCTGAGGCTAATTTAATGCAGATAAGACATTAAAGTGAGCTTAATTACCACCTTAACCACTTCCTGCCCGGCCTATAGAAGAATGACGGCCGGGCGGGACTCTCGTCAATCCGGGGGGCGTCATACAGTATGCCGTCCTTCCCGGATCGTGCTTAGTGCGCGCCCGCAAAACAGCACTTTGGCAAGATCTGTCTCTGGCTGTGTACCTCGGACACGGCCGATGACAGATCTGTGTACCGGCCACGTTGCCAGTACCATGTTGACCTGCTGTGACCAATCACAGCAGGTTACATGACAGTTGTAAACAATAGATGGCTTCCTTTCATGCCATCCATTGTATACAAGTGTGTCTAGATGTAAATGGTCACAGTGATCACATGCACAGACTGGACCAATCACAGCCCATCTGTGTCATGTGATTAGCTGTAGCCAATCACAGCTAATCACAACAAAAATACCTGAAGGAAATCGATTGCTTATAGCAAAGAGATTCTGATTAAGGTGGAAATTAAACTCACTTAGTACCTTATTTGCATTAAATTAGCCTCAGAACCTGTATAATTAATATGTGTTCTGCTTCTGAATGAGGTTGCAACCCTACTGGTACCATGCAGGACTCCTGCAGACCTGTCTCTGTATCTGTGGATGAGGATGTAAGGGATGAGGTGGCAACTCTACTGGTACCATGCAGGACTCCTGCAGACCTGTCACTGTATCTGTGGATGAGGATGTAAGGGATGAGGTGGTAACCCTACTGGTACCAGACAGGACTCCTACAGACCTGTCTCTGTATCTGTGGATGAGGATGTAAGGGATGAAGTGGCAACCCTACTGGTGCCATGCAGGACTCCTGCAGACCTGTCACTGTATCTGTGGATGAGGATGTAAGGGATGATGTGGCAACCCTACTGGTACCATGCAGGACTCCTGCAGACCTGTCACTGTATCTGTGGATGAGGATGTAAAGGATGAGGTGGCAACCCTACTGGTACCATGCAGGACTCCTGCAGACCTGTCACTGTATCTGTGGATGGGGATGTAAGGGTTGAGGTGGCATCCCTACTGGTACCATGCAGGACTCCTGCAGACCTGTCACTGTATCTGTGAATGAGGATGTAAGGGATGAGGTGGCAACCCTACTGGTACCATGCAGGACTCCTGCAGACCTGTCACTGTATCTGTGGATGAGGATGTAAGGGTTGAGGTGGCAACCCTACTGGTACCATGCAGGACTCCTGCAGACCTGTCACTGTATCTGTGAATGAGGATGTAAGGGTTGAGGTACCGTGCAGGACTCCTGCAGACCTGTCACTGTATCTGTGGATGAGGATGTAAGGGATGAGGTGGCAACCCTACTGGTTCCATGCAGGACTCCTGCAGACCTGTCACTGTATCTGTGGATGAGGATGTAAGGGATGATGTGGCAACCCTACTGGTGCCATGCAGGACTCCTGCAGACCTGTCACTGTATCTGTGGATGAGGATGTAAGGGATGAGGTGGCAACCCTACTGCTACCATGCAGGACTCCTGCAGACCTGTCACTGTATCTGTGGATGAGGATGTAAGGGATGAGGTGGCAACCCTACTGGTACCATGCAGGACTCCTGCAGACCTGTCACTGTATCTGTGGATGAGGATGTAAGGGATGAAGTGGCAACCCTACTGGTACCATGCAGGACTCCTGCAGACCTGTCACTGTATCTGTGGATGAGGATGTAAGGGATGAGGTGGCAACCCTACTGCTACCATGCAGGACTCCTGCAGACCTGTCACTGTATCTGTGGATGAGGATGTAAGGGATGAGGTGGCAACCCTATGGTACCATGCAGGACTCCTGCAGACCTGTCACTGTATCTGTGGATGAGGATGTAAGGGATGAAGTGGCAACCCTACTGCTACCATGCAGGACTCCTGCAGACCTGTCACTGTATCTGTGGATGAGGATGTAAGGGATGAGGTGGCAACCCTACTGGTACCATGCAGGACTCCTGCAGACCTGTCACTGTATCTGTGGATGAGGATGTAAGGGATGATGTGGCAACCCTACTGGTACCATGCAGGACTCCTGCAGACCTGTCACTGTATCTGTGGATGAGGATGTAAGGGATGAAGTGGCAACCCTACTGGTACCATGCAGGACTCCTGCAGACCTGTCACTGTATCTGTGGATGAGGATGTAAGGGATGATGTGTCAACCCTAAGTACCAGTAACTGCTGATTGCTGGTGTAATGCTTTCCAGGCTTCCAAAACAAAAAATAGTAAATGCTGGACCAATGTATCTATGTATGAAATATCCGTACCTGGAATTCCTCTTTAAAGTGAACCTGCCCTATTTGTTGATCATTGTTTTTCTGTCTTGCAGTCTCGGGATAGGAAGCAGCTGGGAGATAGAAGTGGAGCCATCAGCTACGGATCTACAGCCCGTTGTATGAATATTGCTGCAACCTCACTCTCCATCCTCTTTTGTTTAGCCACATTTATAATGGTCATGATCTTTATTTAGAAACTCATGACAGCTAAAATATTCAAGGAAAGAAAAAAAAAACAAGGATTTGGAAAATTTACTTTTTGCAGCAGACAACAACATTCAAACACATTTGCCATCTTTTCTCAATGGGACAAATTGCTGACGGTTACAAAGTGCAAACACCCAAATGTTCTCACACATACCTGCAGCACCTTTCACTGTCCTCCCTTATTCTGATAGTTCTGATTGCACCAAGCTCATTCTCTCTTGCCCCATGTCCTCCTATTACACCTCCATGGCAATACTGAGCTGCTTCAATGGACGATGTAGGTAGGCAATATCCGGCACTACTGGGAAGTGATAAAGCTGTGCTCTATTAGAACTATCTTGCACTGGGGCAGGCAGGGGGTTCTGAAAGCTGCTGTAGGTATGAGCAGGTACTTCTATTTTTTAAAATTTATTTCAGGTACTTATATAGCACCATCAATTTATGCAGCACTTTACATATATATTGTGCATTCACATCAGTCCCTAACCCTCAAGGGGTGTACAATCTAAGGTCCCTAACTTACATTCATACATACACATACTAGGGCCAATTTAGACAGGAGCCAATTAACCTACCAGCATGTTTATGGAGTGTGGGAGGAAGCCCTCACAGGCAGAACATGCAAATTCTAGGCAGGTGGTACCATGGCTGGGATTTGAACCAATGAGCCTCGTACTGCCAAGCAGAAGTACTAACCATTTAGCCATTGTGCTGTCCATACTTCTAGATGCCTGCTTCTCATAGATGTCCGCATCTTATTTTTGTTTGTTAAAGGGACAGAGTCAACTTTAAGACACAATGCCACTTTTCCCCTCAAAAAATTCTTGAGCCTTCTGGATATGGGGAAGCATGTATCCTCTCATATGACAATGTAATTTATCCCCCACAGGCACTGTCACGTGACCGAGAGAATGTCACCACTACCTCCTTGCGTCTAGGAGATGCTGGAAATTCTGATGCTGGCAGTGACAGTGGAAGGAGAGGCAGAGGAGTGCTTGCCTTTATACATACATTATCACTTATCCCTGTGGGGGCTAGGTGACAGAGTCTATTTAAATCAAATGTTAGCTTGATACGTAATTTCTTACATTTAAAGCGGAACTAAACCCATTCATTGAGCTGCTGCCCAAAACAAATACATTCAAGGCATGCCATGTCACAGTTGCTTGTGCTCTCAAACAAGCTGTCAAGCCATCAAATCGCTGGTGCCATAACTAATCAAATGGTCAGCACAGGACAACTGCAGATCAAACAGAGGCTAAGATGGCAGCTTCCTTGGCTGAGATAGGGGGATTAAGTTCTGCTTTAACCCTATTAACCCTATGTTCACACCAATGTGTTTTTTAGTTTGTTTAGAATTTTGTAGACATGCACTACAGTACATTTAACATGGGTTCCTATGGATCTAGTTCACATCTGTGCGTTTTGAGCTGATGCCTTTTTTGTAAAGGGTCACAAACTTTTTTCCTGCAGCAGATTGCGTTTTACATGTAATAGACTTCAATGGACCTGCACCAAAAAAGTAATTCTTTCGTTTTGATGCGTTTTGTGGGGTTTTTTTTGGCTAATAGCAAAGTATGACTTCTGTTCATGTTCTGTGACTTTGATGTGACTTTACACTCTCCAGCACTCAAGTAGTATCAAAGTAGCCTCAAAAGTTGCATCAAAGTAGTGCAGGTACCTTTATGTGTCCAAAATCGCATGTTATGGTTGGAGTTAAGCGCTAGCATGAAGGGCTAGGGGTTAGGATTAAGGGCTAGGGCTAAATGTTAGGGTTAGGATTAAGGGCTAGGGCTAAATGTTGGGGTTAAGGGCTAGCATGAAGGGCTAGGGTTAGGATTAAGGGCTAGGGCTAAATGTTAGGGTTAAGGGCTAGCATAAAGGGCTAGGGTTAGGATTAAGGGCTAGGGCTAAATGTTAGGGTTAAGGGCTAGGGCTAAATGTTAGGGTTAGGGTTAGGGGCTAGCATGAAGGGCTAGGGTTAGGATTAAGGGCTAGGGCTAAATGTTAGGGTTAAGGGCTACCCGTAACCTTAACTCTTCCATTTTACCCTAACCTTAGCCCTTAACCCTAACATGTAACCCTAACCCTAGTCCTGAACTCTAACCATAACATGTGACTTTGAACACATAAAGGTTCCTGCAGTACTTTGATGCGACTTTGATGCTACTTGAGTTCCAGAGAGTCTAAAGTCACATCAGAGTCACACTACATGAACAGAGCTGTCATACTTTCCTATTAGCCAAAAAAAAGCATCAAAAACGTGTTCAAAAACGCAAAATGCATCGCAAAGCGCACTAGAAAAATGCATCATCGCCTGGATAGATGTGAACCTAGCCTAAAGGCTGAGTTCATCTCAAAACTAATATTTAAATTTTGAAAAGAGACTATAAAGCCTAATCATACATCATCTTATTATGTATCTTTTTATGGCTTTAGGTACAAGATTTGCATAACAAGACTCACTGCACCGAATTCTCCAAACTGACATAATAATTTAAGCATGTAGAATCCTGGGATGAGAGCAGCACCTGTATTTATGTTTCGTCTGGGTACAATCGGTAATTGTAGATTACACCCAGACAAAGCACCAGTATAGATGTGTCCTATCCTACTCTCAGCACAGGCTTCAACATGCATACAGTATTATTCCAGAGAAGCCAGCACAATGAGTATGTCATCTTCACTCTGCCTATGCAATGAACCTGGCACAGGATCAAAACCGTGAGCCAAGATTTCTTGCCATCTCAGAGTCTGGGAGACATAAAAAACTAATGGATAATAAACCCAATTTAGTCCATCCAAAATTAAACTACCTTTTTGTGGACTAGGCCTATAAGAAATCTACATTTTAGGATTAATTCAATTGAGCACCAATAATCTGACCATACGTTCATTTGGATCTGTAGTTCAGCGTGTAAATGAAACGTCCAGATTTTGCAGCCTATTGCAAAGACTGCATCTATTAAATGCTGTCCGAAAAAAAAAAACTAGCACAAATTGAAGGAGCTCCAGACCAAATGATAAGAGTCCAAATTAATTTATTGGTTTACAGTAAAAAAAAAAAATCCAACTCGTTGTAGGGGCCAGAACAAGCTTCTCCTCACAAGGTTATCTTGATTGCTTCCGCAGATGCTGCTAGTTAGTAACTCTTGTAGTATCCAAATAACTTCTATACAAAGATTCACACAGCAAAGCTTTATTTTGAGTCCATTCAAGGTTCATTTTTAACATGAAGCCTTAAAGAAAGGGGGGGTTCTTCTGGCCCCCAAAACTTTTTTTTTTTTTTAGTGTAAACCAATAAATTCATTTGGACTCATTTATCATTTGGTCTGGCATTCCATTCTGTTGGTGTATGTTTTTTTTTTCTGGTAACCTGTTGGGTACCCACTGGAGGGTAGCCTTGTCTGTTGTGATCAGTCCATCCAGAGCCAGTGAGGTGTCCTCTTAATACTTTCTATGAACTCACATCAAAAGTCCCAGCTCTCCCTGATGCATTTTTCTTCAATGGAATGTTGTGTCTGCTTCAGCTCAGAGCTATATGCGATTCTAAATGAGAAAAGTGAAAGGTTTTCCCTAAAGTATATCTAAACCCAAGAACAAATACACTCTACTTTATTGAAGGTTACCGGTCCTTTGATGTGGTGGCAGCAAAAGTTTTCTTTATTCCTTCTTTCTTTCGTTTTCACCTAATGGTCCTGCCAGTAACACACTTCCTATCGTAGGTTAACAGCCTTTACTTACTGCACTGTATCTATGGAAGAGCAACATTGTCAGTCTAGGTTGCACTCCTGATTCATTCTTGGTTCACACTGTTGTGACCCGTGCGGCCCACGATTGCTCTGCCACAGCAGCCTATTCATTTGAATGGGCTGCTGTGCCACGTTTAATGCAGGAAAATGGTGTGTGCACCTTTCTGAAAACGTGGCTGCAGGGAAACTGCATGGTCTTTTTGATCATACGGTTTCCCTGTGGTTCCCACACCCACAAATCATGTTGCAGGCTGAGATGTGTGTATGTGTGTGTGTGGGGGGTTAAGAGCAGCGGCTGCAGGTGGTGGCGGGTGCAGGAACAGGTTGGTTCCTGCACCTGCAACCAGGCCACAGCCTGTGGGTTAGTGCGAACTGAGCATAAGGCTGCTTTCACACTAATCAGTTTTTCTTCCGTTTTTGCGTTAAAAAAAAACAGAAGAAAAACGTGTGTGACCATGTATTCCTATGGAACTCTTTACACTAATACTTTGTGGGTCTGATGCGTCTTTAAATCTTGCTTGCTGCATGTTTTATGCGGTAAAAAAAAACACAAAAAAACGCACCTCCCCACTGAAATCAATGGGAAACATGGCAAAACTTGTCAAAAATGCATTTCTAAAACTGCAACCGCATTGTGTTTTTGGTGTGTTTTTTGAGTCACATGTCCTGTAAAAAACGTGGCAAAAACGCGTATGTGTTTTTGACACGCTTTTGCTATGGATCAGTGTGAAAGTAGCCTAAGGCTACAAATTCTTCTCACTCTCTTCATAGGGAGAAAGTGTTTTGTACAGTAGTTCACAACAGAGAATTGGGAAGACAGATAACAATGTTTGAGATTTCAGCTCAGCACTCAAAAAGCACACTGGATATCTATCAGGACCAACAGTTATTTTCTGTACTTGCAGAAAATGTTCTTACCCGTATAAAAAACAAAATGCAGCCCCCACATCTAAGGACTGCTAAAAACCTTTTGTTTAGATACTCTTCAAACCATGGCTCGTTGTTGCTTTTGATACACATCATAGAGAAATATTCCTTGAACTTCTTTCTTTCGAGAATATGCATGTTCCAGTATATCGAATTTTAAGCTTTAGTGTATTTTAGTATTTCTCTTTTTATTTTAGTATACCATAAAATGACCATTCTTTTATTCCTATGCTGATAGAACTAGTTAAATTTTCTAGGTTTTATTTTTTTAAAACTTTGTTTTATAGATGCTACTGTGCCGCTCAAGT